AAAAAAAAAAAAAAAAAAAAAATCAATGCGCAGGTTTTTGTGTTAATCTAAGTTTTCAACTACTTTGGGTAAAACTGATGAGCGCAATTACTGACTCAGATAGTAACAGCATAGTTAGGGTTGTTCTGCTCTGAAGAAAAATGAAATTGTGTCATTTGTAGGAAAATAGATGCCACTGGAGCTCATCAGGATAAGCGAAATAATCCAGAATCAGAAAGGCAGGTCTTACACATCTTCCTTAACATGTGGACTCTAAAAACAGTTGATATTAGTATATTTTTATACATATTAAAGACTTTCATCTCAGGGCAACTGGTATATACACACATTGCATCTCGATCCTTTCTACGTTCCCTTCCCCACACCCCTTCTTGTCTCCTCGTCCCTGGATCCCTTCCCACCCTATCAAAGAGCCAACTCCGCTTCATTGATCAGAAGGGAGACCCTTATTAGACAAGAGGAGCCAGGCACTTGGGAGACTGAGGCAGGAGGATTGTTGCGAGTTCGAGACCATCCTGGGCTACAAAGTGAGCTCAAGACCAGCCTGAACTGCATAGCGAGGCCCCTTCTCAAAAAAAAAAAAAAAAAAAAAAAAAAAAAGAAATCCAAGACAAGAGGAACAGAATGGGGGAGGTGACAGAGTGTAACAGGGGATAGATATGATCAAAATACATACACATTTGAAAATACCATATTGAAGCTCGATATTTTGTAATTTTTTTTTTTTTTGAGACAGGGTCTCCCTATGCAGTTTAGGTTGCTCTTGAACTCACTATGTAGCTCAGGCTGGTCTCAAACTCACAGTAAGCCTCCCAAGTGCTGGGCTTACAGGTATGCACCACCACGCCTGGCAATGTTTTATAAAATTAATGGACACTAATAAAAATATATTTAAGGAAGAGTCTGGTGTGCTGGCACTTACCTACATTTCCAGCACTTAGGAGACTGAGGCAGGAGGGTCACTACAAGTTCAAGGCCAACTTGGGCTACATAGTGAGTTCAAGGCCAGCCTGAACTGCACAGTGAGACACTATCTCAAACAAATAGACAAACAAACCATGAATTCCAATGGAACAGAATATAAGAGTGGATTAAACAGGAATTTATTGATTTGACAACATTTTTGGAACACTTGACAAGTACACCAGTGGCTGAGACAAATCCACAAAACAATAATAATAGTTGAGGACTTTAACACACCACCTTCAGCAAGGGATAGATCAGCAGACTGAAAATCAACAAAGAAACAGTAGTGTTAAATTACACCCTGGACCTAAGGGGCAGCAGACATCTTCAGAACATTCCATCCGGCAGCTGCTGAATACACAGTTTTCTCATCAGCACGTGGAAAATTCTCCAGGAAAGACCATACGACAGTTCAAAGAGCAAAGTCTCAACCAAGATTTTATAACTGAAATCACGGGAGGAAGGGTCTGCTCAGAGGGAAGGCATTTGCCGACCAGACATGAGGCCCTGGTTTGACCCCCGGCACCACCCACACACACCAAAAAAAAAAAAACAACAACTAAGAATTGAAATATATTTTTTCAACCGCAACACAAGGAAACTAGCAATCAACCAAAAGGAAAAATCTGAAGCGCCTGCCTGGCAAGTGCAAGGTCGTGAGTTCAGTTCCCGGTACCGGAGAAAAACCAAAAAAAAAAAAAAAAAAAAAACAAACCAAAAGGAAATATCTGGAGACTATACAAATACATGAAAATTAATATTTTTTCCCTAGAGATCAAATCTAGGGACTTGCACATGTTAGGCAAGTGGTTTACCATTGAACTACACCCCCACCTCGGATTTACTTACTTTTGAACAGCTAATGGATTGAGGAAGAAATCAAGAAGCAAATTTAAAAAATCTCCTGATGCAGACCAGGCATGGACTACATGCTTTTAATACCAGGCTGTAGGAGATTTCAGTGGAAGAATCACAAGTTCAAGACCACCCTGGAGTACATAGCGAGTTCAAAGCCAATCTGTGTTAGTACGTTAACAGTATCCCTTAATTATTGCGGGCTGATCAGGCCTGCAATCTCCCAAATGAGTGGACAGTGAAGGCTTAAATAAATGAGACAACTGAAATGATTTCAGGGCTCCAGGAGGGTTCAACCCTATTACAGACCTCGAGGTTCTTTGGGTTGACACCAAGACTTCCCTGAGCGGCCTGTACTTAGGGGGATACTGAAGAAAATGCAGAAATTTGGGAAACCCTTTACAGAATTCTCCAAGTAATACTTCTGCTAATTTAGGAGAATTAAGTGAACTCCAGGAAGGCCTTCACTGAAGGAGTGAGATGCCTACAGCTACGCCTCCTCTTAGCTAATGGGGGTGGGAGCCACATGTCCTCCGCTGTGACCTTATCTCGTCCTCTGAGGCCTCATGGCTTCACCCACCATTACAGGCCTCAGTAGGGCCCAGTGACTCACAAGGAAACACGAAAAGCCAATTGATTAATATTAAACCCTGCTCAGAGCTGCTTCATAGTGGTCTCCATCACTGTACTACATAGTTAAACCCTGTCTCAAAAAGCAATCAAGGGGGCTGGGGATTTAGCTCAGCGGCACAGCATCTGCCTGGCAAGTACAAGGTTGTGAGTTCGATTCCCAGTACCAGAAAAAAAAAAAAAATTAAAAAATTCTTAAAATAAATGAAAATGGGCAAAACATATCAAAACCTAGGGGATACAGCTAAAGCAGTACTAAGAGGCAACTTTATAATAATGAATGTCCACACACAAAAAAGTACAAAGATCTCAGATAAACAACCTTGGAGTATATCTCAAGAAAGTAGGAAAATAAGACCAAACTAAGCCCAAAATTAGTAGAAGGAAAGAAATAATAAAGATAATAGTAGCAGCAATGAGAGACTAAAAATACATACAAAAGAAACAACAACCTGGATTTTTGAGAAAATAAACAAAATAAACAGCTAGACTAAGAAAAACCTCAAGTAAATAAAATCTGAGATGAAAAGGGAAACATTTAAACTGACCACAGAAATAAAAAAGATCATTAGAGATTACTAATGGACAACTAATGCCAATAAATTTAATAATCTGTCTATAGGAAGTGGATAAATTTCTAGATACATTATGGTATACTTGACTAATACTGAATAATAAATAGAACATGAGATCATTCCTGAGAATATTTCCATAATAAAAAGCCAACCAAGACCAGGTGGCTTCCAAAAATAGATGTAGCTCCCTGATGTATACCCTTTTGGTTCTTTATTTACTTACACATAGTTGGAGGGCATACCTGTAATTCCAGCATTTAGGAGGCTAAGGCAGGAGCATCACTGCAAGTTCAAGGCCAGCCTGGGCTACATAGTGAGACCCTGTCTCAAAAAAAAAGGAAATAGTGAGATGAATCTTTTGCATATGGAAAGGGGATGAAGAGATGAAGGGAGGGGGGAGGGGGGAGGGAAGGAAGGAAAGAGAAGAGGATGAAAAATGAATTATGATGTGTGATGTCCATGTTCCAACTCCCCTTGAGGAATGTGATCATTATGGGCTGCAAGCATGCTTTAATAAAAATTGGAAAAAAGAGGCTTTATAAAAATATTTTAAAACTCAAAGAAAAAAAGAGTATCTATTTATGTATCAAATATGCTTTCATCATTCTATTAACTCTGCAGTGCTGGGGAGATCAGACCCGGGACTTAGCATATGAACGCTCTGCCACCGAGCTACACCTCAGCCCCATGCTGATCACCGCTACACCAATTTTTCAAGTCTTGTTTTTTTTTCTTTTCTTTTGAGACAGGTTCTTGCTATACAGTTCAGGCTGGCCTTGAGCTCACTTTGTAGCTCAGGCTGGTCTCAAACTTGCAATGATCCTCCTGCCTCAGCCTCCTGAGTACTAGGATTATAGGTGTGCGCCACCATGCCCGGCAACAGTCTTGTTTTCTGTGACTTCCCTATCCTTGGTCTTCTCCCCTAGTTCATCCTCCATTCCTCCTCCAGGGTGATCTTCTTTTTATTTACGTACTTATTTTTTAATTAATAACACTTATTGGTACATTTTAGGGATACATAACGATCGCATTCATCATAGGGAGTTCGTACCAGTACATGGCACAACTTGATTCTATTCCCAGCCCACATCCTCCTTTCCTCTCCTTCTTTACAAAAGTTTTGTTTCCATTTTTTCCTTCCTTTCTCACCATTTTTTTTCCTTTTCCCTTCCTTCCTTTCCCCCTCCTCCAATCCAGGGTTATCTTTATCCAGGTTATCCTGAGGAGTCCCACTACTGGTCCAGTAATGAGGGCTGGTGGGAAACTTATTCCCCAGACCCGTTTCCTCTCCCATTCACCCTGCATACCTGCCTTTCTCTAGATGGGCCGGCCCCTCCGCTGTTGTCCTTGGCCCAGAGTGACTTCGCTGAGCCCTCTTTCCCTGCAACACGGGCATCGTATCTGGAAATTCCATTTGAAACTTACCTCCTCCACCAAGCCCTCACTGATGCTGAGTTAGTAGGCGTGAGCCAGGTGTTGGTCTACAGGGAGCAGGAGGCGCGGGAGGTGAGATCAGCCTGGTCGGCACAGTGAGACCCTGTGTCAGAATAAACAAGTGAAAAGGACTGAGGATGTAGCTCAGTACAAAGGCCCTGGGTTCAATGCCACCAAAACAATGGCGAGTGAAGATGGGGATACAGCTCAGCACCTCTGGGTTGACCCAAACAAAAAAACCCCAAAGTTCAAAGCTTTGTGATCATAGCATTTCACTCATCTTTTAAATATAGCACCTTATCATTCACTTGTTTATACATTCACCTACCTAACCAAGCTTTGTGCTTCTTTGAGGATAAAGAATGTTTGTTTTTCTACCCACTGGGTGGAGATGGGGGATGGAAATTGGGATGGGGGCCGGGCATGGTGGCACATGCCTGTAATCCCAGCACTCAGGAGGCTGAGGCAGGAGGATTGTTGTGCGTTTGAGACCAGCCTGGGCTACAAAGTGAGCTCAAGGCCAGCCTGACCTGCATAGCGAGACCTTGTCTCAAAAAGGATTAAAAAAAAAAAAAAATTGGGATGGGGATGGAGGAAAGAAGTCCTCAGAGTATTCCAGGCTAAGACAAATTAGATAGACTGTTCTAAGAACTGAAGTTTGGGATGAGCAGAGGATAAAGTTAAGAGAAAGGGAGGATGATGAGCTTAGAGAGGCAGGTGCAGGCTGTGCCAGGCTCTGGACCCACATAAAGGCATTTCGAGTTCAGCCTCACGTCCCAGAGATACCTGAGGGACCATGAGCAGAGCAGTGACATGAGACTGCTCTAGCAGGACCATGGACAATAAATGCAGGGCAGCTTCCAGGGCACTATAATAGTTAGCCAATCAAGAAGTGAAAAGTTAGCCAATCAAGAAGTGGCACACACCTGTAATCCCAGCACTGGGGAGGCTGAGGCAGGAGGATCATTGCAAGTTCAAGACCAGCCTGGGCTACAAAGTGAGCTCAAGGCCAGCCTGAACTGCATAGTGAGACACTGTCTCAGAAAGACAAAAAATAAAACAAAACAAAACAAGATGTGATAAGGACTGGTACGGTTTGTGTGTGGACGTCCCCCAAAATCTTATGTGGTCAGAGGGGTGGGCTTTTTGTTGGCAGCTGAATGTAGAGTTTGTGATTGATTCATGGTCTAATGAGGGGATTAAAGAAGTGAGTGCTACACTCACCCTAGAGCAGGTAGCCTGCAAGCACCATAGAGGACAGAAACAGGCTTGTTCCCTGCTCCTGTTTTGTTGCTTTTGGTGCCTTCCAGGTGCCACCCTGCCTCGGAGCCAGTCGATTGTGGACTGAAACCTCCGCAAACTGTGAGCTAACTAAACCTTCCCCTCTTTAACTTTGGGAGTTGGGTGTTTTGCCTCAGCAATGAGAAAAGTAAGACGAGGACCTAGGTTTGGATATCGGAAATGGGAATGAAGAAAAATAGAGATGATACCGAAAAGTGAAACATACTCAGGGCGTTCAGTATTTGGGTATAGGGGCTGAGGCAGAGGGAGGAGTCAAGGGGGAAAGCAGGTTTTTGTTCTCCCCTAATACATCAGTGTGACCTTGAGTTGGTCATTTACCCTCTCTGCCTGTTTAATCATTTCTGAAACTGGTTTAATAATATCTGACCTATCAACCATTCTTGAGTGAATTCAGTGAGCTAGATATGGTGGCACATGCCTGTACTCCCACTTAGAAATTACTGACATATCTGTTGGTTGTTTTTTTTTTTTTTGTACCGGGAATTGAACTCAGGACCTTATGCTTGCCAGGCAGGTGCTTGTGCACTGAGTTATATCCCTGGCCCCTACTGACATATCTGAAGGAGTTTCTGTGTGAAAATTTTTTGGATGATATAGGCAGTGGTGGCAAACCTATGGTATGCATTCTGTTTTTAAGACACAAGATGTTAATGTGTGACTTGCTTTTGCTAAACTAAAACCTCGGTATTAGGGTTTAATTGCAATGTCGGCACTTTGTGATGAGTGGACTGTGGATCGCAGGTTGGGCACTTGGCTCTAAAAGGTTCGCCACCACTGACACAGGATGTAATGCTTCAGAGGCTTAGATACACTGAGTTCTTTTGCTCAACCATTCCTCATGTCCGCTAGGTAACATAGTGGACTTATCTCTAGTCCCACTGTCCGGTGCCTCCCTCACATGAGATCTTACTTCAGCATTATCACACAAAGTGATTACATTATACAGCACCTCCAAATCACTGTTAAATGTAACAGTGGGTTCGTTTCTGTACTGTTCCAGGAGCAAGGGAAGTTTCCCCAATGATTCTCAGGTTGACAAATTTGATTTTCTAAGTATTTTCCACAAAAGGACAGCGGCTAAGTCCAAACACGCCCAAACAAATGTTCCCTTGGTGGGCATTCCCTGCGACTCCAATCGTTTGTAACCCACGGGGAGAAGCATGTTGCAGTCCATGGGAACCTGAGAAGCAAACGAAGGCCCGCAATTTCTGCTCCACGATAGTCTATCGCATTTTGTTCCGTTGCGCAGTAATAAAACTTAAGCTTGACACCACGCTGGACGTGCTGTGGCCCCCGCTCATCCTTCCGTGGTCCCATAAAAGGATTCTGAGAATTGACAAGTTCAAAGAATCAGTGACAAAATTCTCCTAGCGAACGAAAGTCAACTTTTGCACTTTAAAAGAAAGTCTTCTTATGCGTGCTGTTGAGAGTTGGAGGTCCTCTTTGAAAATGGCTCTGGTATTTCCTTCAGTTCTGAGTTTTGATTGCTTCTCCCAGTAATCTTTTGCATGCTGTTTTGCAGTAGTTGGAAGTGTAACAACCCTCTCTGTTGCCAAGTACTTAAATATAACTTCTTGGTGGACTTTTTTACGCCTCAGAAGTTCTTCTATACTTTGACTACACACTAATACTGAGAGACTAACAGCTTGGCGGTCCTCGGGCTGCACCAGGTGGTTGGTGACTGTATTGCACACAGCCATGATCTCGCCGCTCGCTGTCCAGTAGAGGGAGTAGGTTAGACAGCCTTCCCTGTGAGTGACAGCCCTGGCAACTCGACTTCCTGGGAAGTAGGGAGAGGACCCTGCCAATAATGTTGTTCCTACCGCCCACCAGGCCTGCAGCTCAAATTTTAACTGAATCCTTACAAAAGACACCAAAAGGCCGGGCGTGGTGGCGCACGCCTGTAATGCCAGCACTCGGGAGGCTGAGGTAGAAGGATCGCTGTGAGTTCTAGGTCAGCTGGGGCACATAGTGAGTTCAAGGCCAGCCCGAACTGCATAGTGAAACTCTGTCTTAGAAAAAAAAAACACACACCAGTGCTCAATTAAGTCTGAGTTTTCAAAACTGCCTGGGGATCCGAGGCCTCGGAAGCGACCTAAGTCCTATGGAAGGACTAATTCTTGATTCTCTTCAATTCCCATATCAACCCTGTCGCTTTCTAAACCGATTTAGCACTTGCTACCTTGCATTACAGTTCATCTTCCCTTGCCTTAAAACGCCCTAAAGCCGGGTATGGTAGTGCACTCTTGTAATTTCAGCACTCGGGAGGGAAGCTGAGGCAGGAGGATTGCTAGAAGTTTGAATCCAGTTGGAACCACAAAGCAAGACGGTCTCAAAATACACTGATACTGGAGAAGGGTACTTATGAGATTCACACGTGTCCCCACACAACCCAGCACACCATCAAACACCTAGTGTATGGTCGAGAAAACCAATTAAAGAGATAGGGGAAGCCAGGGAAGGAAATCAAGGGCAAGCCTGTGAAGGGAAAGACCCGTCCCACACCCTACGCGCTGTGGCCTCACGCCCTCTGGTCACGCCCAGACACCCGGGCCGCCAGCCGCCTAGCGCGCACCGCAAACATCCTGGTGTTTCGGGCCGCAGCCCGGGTCCAGCGGCCAGCGATACAGGACCCGCTACTAAGCCAGACGGCAGCCGAGCAGGCTCCGCCCACGCTTAATGGCGCCCAGCCACAGGTGCCGCACTGCCGCAAGCCAATGAGCACCCGCGTCGGGCCCTCTGGCCAATGGCGGCGAGGCGTGGGCACGCCGGGGGCGGGCCGTGCGTGCCAGACTGTTCCAGAAGACCCGGATAGAACCTCTCGGCCACGCTGAGCCGGGGCGTTGTGCCGCACGCTGCTTTCCGCTTCGTCCTGAGCCCGGGCAGCGATGGCGGCCGTGAAAACCCTGAACCCCAAGGCCGAGGTGGCCCGCGCGCAGGCGGCGCTGGCGGTTAACATCAGCGCGGCGCGGGGACTGCAGGACGTGTTGAGGACCAACTTGGGGCCTAAAGGCACCATGAAGATGTAAGGCGGGGCCGGCGGGAGGTGCGGGGC